TTTAGAAATTAAAATTGTTATGTAGACAACAAGTAAACCATACTCTTTCCGAGTATCAAGCGATTGGTAACAATAATCAATCGGATAATCGATATGTTGTACATGGCTATGTAATGAAAATTATTTTTAGAATTTCGATGTGTACCACCTGACTATATATAATGTAATATGCATGTTTATTTGTGCGATTAACCAAATTCGATACGATCTGATTGTTAACCAACTCGTGCCACATGCATTTTCTTTGTGAAAAGTTTTTTCGCTGTGCATGTTTACATGGTAAATACCCATGGACTTGCATTACTCCAGTTCCACATTCCCCAAATCTACTCTTCCCATACCTAAATGAGGGGGAAATGAGCGGAGGAAACGTTTTATTATTCTAAATTCGGTCAATTAACTCATGATACATCTGTACATTTGTAATATTCTTTCTGTGCAACCAAATATCATCCCTTAGTCTCACGACGCGTAATATGATAAAGTCGCGTAAAAGGTGGGTTCTTACTTTTGTCTTTAACACTAAAATGTCTATTAATTTACATGATATCATTAAAAAATGGAATACCGAAAAATTAATAGGATTCTTGAGAAATCAAGAATTAAACCTTGATGACGAAGATTTTTCGTGTTTAAGAAGTCAAAAAATTTCGGGGTCAAACTTTCTTCTATTAAAAGAAAAGATTTAATCGACTGTAAATTAAAGGTGGGGCCTACTGTAACACTTTTAAATTTAATCACCGAAATTAATACTGGTATGTACAGTATATGGATTTGGTATATAGTTAGTTTATTGTATAACTTATTTAATTTCTTTCTTTATAGGGAAATTGTCAAGTGAAAAACTTATTCCTGTTCTTAAAGATGTAAAAAATTCGAAGTGGCTATACTCCAGATATTTCTATGCCTTTCCTTTCAACCAATGGTCACTTGAACATTATGAAAATTGGATTCTGAATAATTACACAACTTCAAAAAAAGAGGTTTACAATCAGTGTTTTTTTAAAATAATTCGAAAAATAAAGGAAGATTCTAAAACTTTAGAAGAGATAAGAGAATTCGTATCAAAATTAGACAGAAAGGTAAGATATTGATTTAATTTTTTTTCTATACTACACCTGTTATTATGATGAATTGTCGGTCATCTTGTGCAGTGACCTTTTTGGTGTGAGCAATATTTTATCTAACCTAGTAAATGAGAATCGGTTCTCATTGTGAAGGGATAGCATTAATAATATGAGTTTGGATGAGGCTACTCCTTGCCTATCCCGTGGGGATCAGTTCTCACATTAGTAGGGATAGCACAGGGGAAGGTACGTCCTTGAAAGTTAGCCGAATTAGTACATTTTTTACTGGCTATGTCCAGTAGTATGTGTCTGATCATCCTTACTTTATTGGAAAATTTATTTTGTATATCTTAACAAGCGTTAAAATTAACTGAATATGGTGTACCTAGTTGTTCTTTTTAATTAATCAATTTCTTACTTGATTACTAATTTTTTTTTTTTATTAAAATAGTCAAATTTTGTATGTAACGATTTTATCGATGATGAATATACCGGATATGAAGCAATGCTAGAAGGCAACATTTCAACATTTCTTGATATGATTTTGAATTATTATAAGGCAAAATCTCTTAGAGAGTTTAGGGGATATAATGAAGTAGCGTTCCAGACCGCAGTCGAATTACTACTTCCCACAAACATTGGTGTTCTGAATTACGTCTCGTAATAGATAGTTCAAAAATATCAGGCGAAGGTCGCTTTGGCTTTATCGATATTTTCGTTAATGGAGTAAATGGAAACGGTTTAAATTCAAGCATAATATTGGAACTAAAGTGTATATCGTTGGTAGGTCTTCTGAGTGGAGAAGAAGGAAGATGGATTGATAATCCAGGTTATAAATCGTTAATGGCATTAGATGCAAAACTTGAAAAAGAAACCGAAAATGAACTATTAAAAAGAATTTATTTTTATTGGTGTAAAGAGAAAAAGAAATGTGAACGAGTAAACGTAAAAAAATAATCAGTGATGGAGTGAAACAGCTTAATAGATATATGTTAACAATGCAAAATGGTAAGGTTAATAATCAAAAGGGATCGGGAGTTTGTGATGATAAAATTAAAATAGAGAAAGGCGAGGGATTTTTGGGAGGTTTTCTTTTGGTCTCGATTGGTTCTAAACGAATCTTGACGAAATCATCAGAATTTAAAAAAATAGGCATAAAATTTTCTATATCCTGTTAATTGGAATTTTCATATTTCTTAGCTGTATCAACAAATTAATAAGATGATCTTGGAGGTTGTTTTTTATATAATAAATTATGATGATTGATATTTCATAGTAGCATTAAAGAATCGCCTGAGGGAAAATCTTAGTTAATAAAAAATCGTTCATAATTCTTTATAGAAGTTTCTGTAGTAGAAATCATGACTTTTAAAAATTCTAGTTATTTCAGCCTTGATCGAGGCCAAAATTCTTATGTGCGATCAGCACTGATGTTGATTGATATCACAGTTAACAATCACATTTTTATTGCATATCTACTTTTGCATATAAATCAGACCTGGTTGTAGCATTATTAAATAAAGAATAAAATATACCTCGCACTATTTTTTGCTGGTCTTAGTGATCGATTTCGCATATATAATTGTGTTTATTTTTGTATGTGTATTTTTTGGGATTTTTTTGATGGCATCTTGAACGGAAATTATATCTTGCAAGAAAAAAAATATACAATATTTATTATAAATTATGAATATGAATACATTTAATACCACCGGAAATTCTAGAAAATATCTCCTGGATGACGTCAAAAAAAAGCTTAATTGTTTTTATACAACAACAATACATACAGACGCATTTTCAGATAAGAAATACTTATTATGATAACATTGAAAATTATTTTTATATGCGACTAAATAGTTGTATACTATTATTTTAGAATGTAAATGATAGGTCCATCAAAATCCGGATCTGAATCAGTCAATGCTGATGATACTCTAATTGCAGAAATAAGATCTGTTACAATTAATGTATTAGTTAAAACCATTCTATTAGGTCCACCGGTAAAGATAACGCTTCGAGATACCCTTAATGGATCTGGAACAAGTGGAGGTAGATCAGAATCCGAGAATTCATCATCTGAATAATCGGGATATTCGATTTTAATTTTTGGATTGAATTTTTTTATTACTTCTTCGCTAATCCTTTTACATCCCTCCAAACTAAGATATTTCAAATTAGTACAATTGCGGGCTATTTCCTCGACAGCTTTATTATTAATCGAGCAATCACCAAGCTCAAGATGTCTAAGTTTTGGGCATGAGTGAGTAATTTCAGTGATACATCGATTAGTGAAACATATACATGAATTAAGACTCAGATGCTGTAGTTTTGGAGAAAATCTCGCAATTTCTATAATTGGTATATTACTGAAACCCTTACTTTTATCAAGAATAAGAAAGCATATATTCGGACATGAATGCAGAATTGTACTGATTAAAGCATCCGAGATTTTTAAACCTTCCAATCTGAGATATACCATCTTTGAACAATAGAGTGGCTTTATTTTTCTACGCATACTTCTTTTAAAGTTTATCAATCGCCGAGTAAGAACCCGAGACATATTTAAGGCATGCCGACTCTGCTGATAATCTTCATTGAAAAACTCAACGCGATACTATAGAATAGGAGCACCGCAGTGATACCAAAACTGATTAACAAACAAAGTGGGATAAAGAGAGCGATCTATTGCTAAAAAATGTAGAATCGATTCTAATAATTCCGGCAAATTAAAAATGTTAAGCTGTATCATTTCAAAATTATATGATATTTTTAATCTGGATTTTTTTTTCTATATATTAATAACGGTACTAGTATCTCTAATACATAATATAATTTTAATTCCAATAGTTGAAAATAATAGTAATACTGAATCGATTCATCAAGAATTACTAAATAAACTGAAAACGATAGCGGAAGCTAAAACCGAATTAGAAACAAAAATCGCAGAAGAGATTAAATCAAAGTCGAGGAATAATAATGGTATTCTGGTTGATTCGGACTCACAATGTCCAATTATCTCCTATGAAAAAGCAAAAAAGATGGGTTTTAAAATAGATAAAAGTTCATCCAAAAATACCGATAGAACGATTTCCAGAATATGTAGACATATACTAAATAAAAAAATTAATATAAGTTTTTCCAAATTATTGAAAATAGTAAACCCGAGATCCAGCAAGATATTATTAAAACTGTTAATACGAGTAGTTCTCCACGTAGAAAACGTTATATTAGCAACTGTAGGAAAAGTAATGAAAGTGTCGACGTAGGTTCACTTCTAGTTCGTCTGAAATGGAGTCTGAAACGGAATCTGAAACGGAGTCTGAAACGGAATCTGAAACGGAATCTGAAAAAAAAATGTACATATAAATTTATTGTGTGAAAGTGGAAAAGCATAATTATTTTTCATCATAGATTCGGAATAACCTTGCTTCTTCAGGTGGCTCACCCCTCCTTCGGAATTTAACTATAATATAATTTCGTACTGGAGATTCATTATTGCGGGGACTATGCCGTAATTCTTGTTGGGCGATTGTCATAGCTTGCCCTAAGCTTCTAGCGTCATGTGAGACGACTGCATATACTGCTCCAATTTTACGTAAGTATCGAGGAAGTAAACCATATTGTTTCAAGAATTTATTTAGACTTTTAGCTCCAGGTTTTCCAGTACTTTTAATTTTACCAGAACTTATGGCATCCTGTATCCAAATAAGCAATTCTTTGGCTCGTTTTTCATCTTTTTCCATTGATCTAAATATTCGAGGAATATCTTGCTGGTCGCGATTTTTCGCATATCCAGTTACT